CTCGTGTCTACAGTAATACACACATATTACATGGGACGGAGGAAGTATATATATATATATTTAAAATTTTTATTTGTTTCGAAACAAGGTTGTTATTTTTAATTTAGTAATTTTACTATTTATTTAATATAATAATAAGTATACTTAAAATTTACAATATACTATAAAAATATTATTATTTTTATATTACATTATATTAATAGAAGTATTTTTATCTTTTTAATACAAACTAATGTAATATTAATATAAAAAAATCTACGTGCAAATTAACTGGGACGGAGAGAGTATTTCTTAGTCTACTACAAATTCCAGTATATTTAAATAAAAATAAATATACTATCTCCGTCTCGTAACAAGAGCAATTTTTATTTTTTTTGCACATAAATTTTTGAATGTTACTATTATATTGATTTATAGTAAAAAAACACAAAAATGCACCTATTAGTACGGTGTATAATAGAAGTAATGACATTTGTGTAAAATTACTTATTATGTTAAGTAGTTGTATGCAGTACAATTACTAAATTAGAAAAATGGTACCTTGTTTTGAGATTGACAAAATATAAAATAATATTATTCTTGTGGGACAAAAAGAACATAATCTTTTTTTTCTCATAAAATATTTAATCAAAATACTATTTAAACAAAAATTCAAATTAATATACATTTCAAATAAATTCAAATCACAAATAAATAATCCACAAAAGAACACAATATTTTACATATTATTACAACAAAACCATAAATTTACATATTAAATACTATTACAATTTTAAAAGTATGATTGTTCATTGTGTATATATTATATTACTCCTTCCGTCATGCAAATATGTGCTCATTTAACCGGACACAAATTTTAATAAAAATGAATAATAATTATTTTATATATATATAGTTAAAAACAGTACAAAAGTCAAATGATTTTTTACTTAAAAAAGAAATGAGAATATTTTTCGATGACAATTCAAAAAGAAAAGTGAACATAGATTTAAATGACAGATAAACTATATTATATATATAATACTAATATTTTAAAAAATTGAAAAAAAATAAAAAAAGAGTAAATATTTAAGGGTACAAATAATTATAATTTATTTTATTATTTTAATATTTTACTAAATTAACATGTAGCTGTGATGAGATTCGTAATGAGAGATTTAATATAATTAAATATTTATTGAAATAGCAATTAGAGTAATTAAATAATGATCATAGGTTTGACAAGTTGCTTGGGCCCAAAGATTCATTTCTGCCCAACACATACTAGCCGTTTCGTTTGGATAGAGGCTGTTATTGTTTTTTATTTCAAATATATACTCCCTTCGTCCAGGTAGAAAGTATACATATTTTTATTTTGGGACATTCAATTACAAAGTAATCATTTTATTAAATACCTCGTTTTTTTCACAAATATCCATACTTTACATCACATCATTACTTTTACACCAAAAAAATAAGGGCAAAAAATGTCATTCTACTACTTTTACCTACTCACTATAATTAAAATACTATTATTTTTTAATCTCCGCGGCAAAAGTAATTGTATACTTTTAGCTTGGACGGAGGGAGTATATATATATCATTTAATTAGTTCAGATAAAAATATACTCCCTCCGTCCCGTGTAATATGGATGTATTACCGTAGACACGAGAATTTAGATAAAATATAATTAGTAAGTAATTAAGAAATATATTAGTAAAAATAATTATAGATTAAGATTAAAATAAGTAAATAGTTTAATTAAAAGTTAAGAAAATTATAAAATTTAAAATACGATTAAAGTGCATAATTATATTTCCAAAAATAGAAAGGACAAGTTATGTGAGACGGACGAAAATAGAAAATAGGGACAAATTATGTGGGACGGAGGGAGTACTATTATTATTTTATTTATAAAATAGTAGTATTACACTAAAAATAAAATTCAAATAATAATAATAATAAATAAAAATTTAAATCAAAACAAAATAAATTACTTCATCTGTCACATTGAAAGTTTACCATTTTTTATTTTCGTCTGTCCCAAAACAAGGTTACTATTTCCTAATTTAGTAATTGTACTACTCTACTTAACATAATAAATACATTTTCAACTTACAATATATTACACAAATGTCATTATTTTTATACTACACTATACTAATAGGGGTATTCTTGTCTTTTTTTATTACAATCTAATATAATACTATTATTAAAAAAATCTACGTGCAAAAGGCAAACGCCACCCTTCCAACGGGACAGAGGAAATATATATTTTTTCTAAATTTTAAGGTTTTTATTTTTTTATTTATTTAAAAAAGTGAAGGTTAGATATAATATTTTATGAAGTTAAATAAATATTTAAATATAATACTCCATCCAAATTCAATATATTTCTTCGTTTATTATAATAGGTTAAAAAAAATATTCTTTTGTTTCATAATAAATTTTTTATCTTTTTATTTTTGTTTATCTCATAAAAATAGTATTTAATTTTTTTTGTTATTAATTGTATTATTTATCTAATATTAAATATACTGATACAACTTATAATATATTACACAAATATCATTATCTTTATAATATACAAAACTAATAAGACTATTATTATTTTTTTGAACTTTATTAATACTATATAAATATAATATTAATATACACAAAACTCAGTTCCAAAAGTATTTGAATTTTTTTTATAATTGAGAGTGTAATATTTTATTAGTTTAATAAGTAAGTATGTAAAATTTAATTTTTTATCATTTAAAATATAAAAGAATAAATATCTTTATAAAAGTAGAAATATTTTTAGTATTTATATTTAATATTATAAATTTTTTGTGAATTTTTGTAATTTTAATAACAAATAAGAAAGTAAAATAAGCCTACTCTTTTATGACATAAAGAAGTAATATATAAATATTTCTATCACATTAGATTTTACCCATAAAAATACTCATCTCTCCGTTATTCAAATTTATTCTCACTTTTCTTTTTTGGTTGTCATCCAAATTTATTCCTGTTTTATTTTTTAGTAAAAAAATACCACTTTTCTTTACCAAAAAAATAAAAATTTATATTCTTACATATTTTTCTTAAAACCCGTATCCGGTCAAATAAGCACACAATTAAATGACGGATAAAGTAATAATTTAATTACGGTCATTAAATCTCAGATGTAATAAATTAAAATTTAAACATATTCCAATCATTTTTCAATGGTCGTGTATCCAGTGCTCAGCATGATGTTGATTTGATCGAATCAACATATAAAGGTAATCAACATATATTATATACTATCATAGTATATTTATAATACATTATACTTTATTTAATAATTCAATATATAATATTTTATAATACAATACACAGCGTGTTATGCAAAAATATATGTTATATACTTTAGTCTGATATGTTGATCCGATCGGATCAGCATATGTTGTGTTATAATCTAATAATATATGCTATATTATAAATATTCTGCATATGTATAAATATATGCTGGTTATCTGTATGACATATGCTAATTCGGTCAAATTATCACCCTACTGACTTGGCCGGATCAGTACATAATCCGCAGCCTACTTTTAGATATAAATATATAATAATATGACGGTAAGATCGTGCGTGTTTACTTGTAAGATTTTGGTTTTGAATAGTAAAATTTTGAATTGAAATAATTGTTTAATGTGATGTTTTAAATATAAAAGTTAATTTTAGTGGTAATATAATAAATAAAAAATAGGTGATTGAATTGATGTTTTTGGGAGGAAAAAAAATTGAAATAGTAAAATCGAAAATCAAATCTCACAAGTAAATCTCGAAAGTATTAATAGTTAGTGGTAATGTCTATAGTTTATGAAAAAAATGTAAATTTTATTATTGGACGGACTAAAAATAAAAAATATAAACGTTAGAAGTGGACAGAGGAAATAATATGTTTAATTGCGTATATTTTTTAGAGTTTTATGTTATTGATCGATAGCTTTTTTATATATACATTTTTTTAAATGGTCCAAAAACAAATTTGTGTGTTTAATGTTTTGATTTGATGTATTTTGTATGAGAAATATAAAAAAAATAAAGTTGTTATTATAAATAATCATATTCCATACTGATATTTTTTAAAAAAATTGATAGAATATGTATCATATATATATAAAATAATCATATCAAATAAAAAATATTTGGACAAACCAAAAATAATTCCTATTTTTTATATAAACAAACCTAAAAACTCCATTTTCCCATAAATTTGTAGAATTTTTATAATGCGAAAAGGTACATTTAATGTGATATTTTCTAAAATAATATTTTTTATGAATAATGTAAAATTTTTAAAAAGTATGCATATAAATATATAAGGGAGTATTTGATTTGAGTTTCAAATTCTAATAATATTATTCTTGGAACACCTCAGTGTGCAAATCACACAAATCCGACGTGTCGAAATCGTAGACTGACCCCACTGCATAATTAATTCTATAATGTTTTCAGTAAATATATCGAAAAGAATATGCATATTATTGATATAAATAACTAATATCAAACCGTTATTTTACCAAATATTTTAATACAAACAATTAATCGAATCAGCTAGTCAAATCAACTAATTGAATCAGCTAACAACTAACAGCTAATCGAATCAGCTAACAACTAACAACTAATCGAATCAGCTAATTGTCAAACACACCTTTATTATTTTGTCACTTTTTTTTTCTTTTGAAAAAAATATTATACATTTTAGTTTTATTTTAAAATTTTTAATTTAATTTTTTCAATTTTAATATTTTATTTTTACTAATATATGTCAGTAAAACGCAAAATTTGTGAAATGATGGACAATGGTACAATAATACAATCTTATTTTAGAGCGACAGTGGAAATTAAATAAAATGCAATATTTGGAAACCTACAATTCTAAAGCTGCAAAGCTACTGAGTTGTGACCAAACAAATCTATAACTATATATATACATATATCTATAATATTTTATTTTTATTTAATTTAAATTGTTAGCTCTTAATTAAAAATGAAAAATAATTGCAGATATACGAATTTAATATTTTACATTATAACATTTCTCTCTCTATTTTTTTAATTTAAAAATAAAAATAAAATATTCATCAGCATAATTGACATATACGATGAAAATAAAAAAAGAAATAAAAAAAAAAAAGATATTTAAAAAAAAGAAAAGAAAAAAGAGTTACAACCTTACACGCCATGCCTACCCCCATAGTTCCTTACCCTATCCTTCTACCCCAACCCCGAAGCAGATATTAACAGATTTCCAATTTTACCCCTCCTCTGTAAGTGTCCAACGGCCAAAAGGAAGGGCAAAACGGGAATAACAAGTACGGAACGGTTCGTGCTACATGACTTTCCACGACTCCAGAGTGGGAAAGCTACAAAATGAGTCGAAGTCGAGCACCGCAGCGGCGGCGCCGTCGGAAGGAGGCGGCGGCGGCGGAGGTAGCAGCGACGAGGCTGCGTTGAGGAAGAAGGTAGAAGTATCGAGCGTCGGCAAGCCGTTACTATGCGGAAGCAGAGTAACCGCTCTCTTCGCCTCCGGTTTCAGCACCTCCGCCGCCGGTAACTGTCCGTTCAAACCGCCGAACCTGGCGCCGGTGACCTGCTGCACCATCTGCCTGAAATTCGCAGGATCGGCGGTGATAAACGTTGTCGTAGAACGCTTCGACGCACGAGATTTACGCTTCGTGACTTTACCGTTCGGCTGGAGGCTCCGGCGTTGCTTCGAGACGGAGGCGGAAGCCTCGTGCTCGGAGCAACCGGAAACCGCCGGCGTCTGCACTGGAATATTGATTTCCGGCGTCACCAAAAGCGAATCCACCATCTCCGCCGAGAAACCGTCGCCATCGGAGGAAGTAGACGCGAACGACTGCTGCATAGCCTTCGTCGCTGCAGCGTCGCAATCTCTGTTGAAAAAATCCGAAATCCAAGCGTCCGCAAATGACGATCGAAACGACCACGGCAATTGCTCCATCGCCATCAGATTATCAGACGCCATTTCCACACCAACACCGAGCTCAAAATCAAAATCAAACCTCTCCTCCTCCTCCTCAAATCCACAATCTGCAACAAAAATTACACAAAAATAACCGCCAATCCACAGAGAAACAACAAATCAAGGCATAAAAAACATGATAAAATCTCAAATTAGGCGGAGAGAATGAATTTTCTCGAAGACGAAGGTGTGAAAAGGAAGGAAGCGAATATTTGTGAAGAAGAACAGAGAGCAAATGAGGAGGTGGGTGGGGGTGAGGGTTAGAAGGGGGGCTTTAAATAGCGCGGTGACTGAAGGAAGGATCCGAGCCGTGTCGCGAGGGACACGTGGCAGCCGATCAGGCAATGTGTACGGAAACTAAACCATGGTTTAAAACCGGGATTAATTTAATTTGAGTTAGGGGACAAACTTTTTTACTGTAGAGTGTAATTTTTATGAATAATTACCCGCGCCGGCATCGATTAACGCCGTCGTTCACTCTGTTCTTTTCTTTTCCGCGATATTAACGGCGCCGTTACCCAAATATGCCGCCGCTATTTTTTATTTTTTAATTATATATATATATATTCAACAAGGTTACCGTCATTGTTAAAAAAAAAAGGGTATAAAGTACATAAGTATAGCCTCAGTCTTCATTACTTTTTAAATGTTGAGGCTATTTATTACTCAATATTAATTTTTCTTTTTCTTTAAAAAAAAATTATTTTGTTTGGAGGATAGGATTTTAAATATATTATTTATCCCATTTTTTTAAAAAAAATATCAAATCAAACACATATTTTTTATTATATATTGTATTAAAAATTAATTTTATATTTAAAACATCACATCAATACCTATGTATATTATATCATACAATTATTCAAATTCAAAATTTTTACTATTCAAATCTTAATTTAAAATTTAAACCCCCGAACAAATACACCCTAAAAATACTCTTTTCCTCCCTATTAAAGTACCATTTTTATAATTTTTATTTGTCTAATTCTATTTTTTTTAGTAAAATTAATTATATATTGATGCTAAAATATTTTAAAATTTTATTATAAATTATAAATATATCATTACATATACAATGATTTTATAAATAAAGTTATCAACAAAAATATTAAAATCTTTTGCATATTTTCACTAATTAATAAAATATTATTATTTTTTAATTTACTATAAAATTTAAAAAACCTCGTAACCCAAAAAAAAAACATCTTTTAAAATGAAACGAAGAAAGTAAATATTTTCTTGAAAAATATAAAAAAGTTGAAAGTATTTCCTAAAGAAAATAATGAGACAGAATGTATATAATCTGCAATATTGATAACAGTATTTATTAACGACAAAAACAAAAATAAAAAATAAATAAATTTGACTCACCGGAAAAGTATCACTAATAATCTTTTTATCTCAATTAAAAGTTTTTATTTTTATTTTTATTTGTGTCATTTAAAAGTATATTTTTTTAATTAAAATAAATTTAATATATATATAAATAAAAATTATTTTTAATTTTTATAAAAGTATTTTTTCCTTTTATATTTATAATGAAAATATCAAAATCATTTTAAATATTTCTTGTTCAAAGGTTTGAATTTTAGTTTAAGATTTGAATAATAAATTTTTGAATTTAAATAATTGTATAATATTATAAATGAGTATTAATGTAATGTTTAAATATAAAATTAATTTTTAATATAATATAGAAAATAAAAAATATGCGTTTAATTTGATATTTATAGGAATATTTTTTTTTGTATGAATAATAAAAATTTGATTAAATATTATAAATAAACACACAAATTTAATGTATTTTGATAATAGTAAAAATTTGATTTGAAACGATTGTTTATCATACTCCCTCCGTTCTATATTTATATATCCATTTGTTTTTTGTACGGAGTTTTAGAAATATTAGTATTATATTGGGATAAAGTAGAAATAAAAATAAAAATACTAAATTAACACTATTAATATTGTATGATGTAAAGGTAATGACATTTATGTAATATATTATAAATTGGAAGTGTATTGGTAATATTAGGTAGACAGTACAATTACTAAAAAAGGAAATAAATACTTTGTTATAGGACGGACCAAAATAGAAAAATAGATAGATTATTAAGGGACGGATGAAGTATAAGAAATGTTTCAAATATTCAAGATTTTTTTTGAAAAAAACAAATATATATATTCAAGATTTTGTGTTAAAAGAGTTTCAAAGATTACTTCCATGTCATCATTAAATAATTTTAGATGGATAGATAGATAATAGTAAAATTTTGATTTAGGTGTTTTTATGTTGGATATTGAAAATTGTGTTGATAATATAAAAAAAAAATATTTTTTAATTAAATTGCTAATTTTATTGAATATATAGAATATATAGTGTTATGTGAATATATATATATATATTTTATAATACTAATCAGGAATATCGGTTTCAATAAATATTTTTAGAAGAACACATTCTTTATCTTCTATAGTTAAAAAAAAATAAAATGACGATGTATGTATATATATTTTATAACTGTTGAGGTTCACGATGGAATTAATTAAAAATTAATATGTTCAATCCAAATCACCGACGAATGACGATTTTTACCAGTATTATAAAACATTAAAATTATAATATTTAATAATCAATATCTAAAAAATAGTTTAAAAAAATAAATGTATGTTAAAATAGAAGAATGAAATTAAAAAATAACAAAATAAAAAAATAAAAAAATTTAGGGGACTAGAGTTAGGAATAGCAATGGATTTGAATAGACCCGAAACACAAGCGAGATTTCACCCACATTTATTAAGGGTTGGATCTAATTATTCGAATATAAGGTTGGGTACTATATATCCTATCTAGTTCAGGATATGGGTCTACAGGTATATTCGGAGTGAGTATTCAGATTTTGCCAAATTTGAATCGATTCAAAATTTTGAATTTTTGGCAAAATCCAATTTGAAATAACCAAAATTCGAATTGAACCGAAAAATTTGAAATTCTATATCTTTGTTATTTTTTAAAAAACATTTATAAAATTTTATATTTTTATAATTGTTTTATAATATTAAATATACATAATAAATACAAATAAATATACTAAAATATAATTAATAAATTTTAGTTTTTTTATTAATATATTATATTTTGATTAAAATATTAAAGATATATAATAAATTATATGTTAAAAATATTATTCGGATTTCGAATGGGTTCGGCTTTTTAGTATACCTATTCAGAATTTATAAAATATTCAATCTTAACAAGTCCTAAAATCCTAAAATCCGAACCAAATTTCAAATTTCGATTTTGTTCAGATTGAATTTTTGAATATCAAATATTTTGCTCACCTCTAGGTATATCCATTTCGAATTCGGATCAAATTAGATTTGATTAATATATTAATAATATATCAATAATATTTAAAAAAATAATAATTTTTAACAATATAATTATATTAAAAATATTTTTGTTGTATTTGATTTATTTATTTATATAATGAGTTTATAATGGACATTTTTGAATCATATACTTCATCCGTCCCATAACAAGAGTAACATAGGCTTTTCGCACGTAGAATTTTAGGTTTATGATAATAATAATATGAAAAAAAAAACAAAATATGTTTATTATTATGATGTAATATAATAATAATTATACTTGTGTAATATATTGTAATTATAAAAATATTTATTATGTTAGTACAATTACTAAATTATAAAATAGTATCATTGTTTTGGACCGACAAAAATGAAAAATTGTAACATTCTTATAGGACAAATGGAGTATATAAATTTCAATTTGTGTTGAGTTCACGTATGCGGGTGCCAGTCCAATTTTAAATTAAACTATTAGATACTGCAAAAGTATTTTGGATCTGTCAGGTCAGGTCAAGCGAATTTTATCGGATCTAATTTTAATCTGAGGTTCAATTGAACCCAATTCATTGTTACTTCTAATTAAAACATATTTTTTTTATATGAGATTTTTTTTGTTTTTTTGTTTTTTTTTTCATTAGGTCATTAATAAATTTGGAATCTACAATATTAACTCTAGATTTCAATATATAACGATGTATTGAAATATATTTTAAATTTTTTTTTTAAAGAATGAATTAAAATATATTGATATAATGTAAATACATATTATGTATGAAATATTGTATAAAAATCAAAGAGAAAAATCTAATATATTTAAGGTTTAAAAATTTAGTATAGTAAATGAATTAATATTTTACGAAAAGAAAATTTAAGAATAATGCAAAAAAAAAAAAAAAAAAAAAAGAAGCCATAAGTAAACAAAGAAATGATATATTTATGGAATGACGATGGTGTTGATTGAAAAAAATACTCCATTCGATTCGGCTACGGTGTCTCTTTTACCGTAGATACGAGAATTTAGGGAGTATAATTAGAAATGATTAAAAATATATTAGTGAAAATAATTATTGAATAATAAAAATAATTTTAAATTAAGTTTAAGATAACTAATTAGTCTAATTAAAATTAAAAATTTTAAAATAAGATTAAAGTATATAAATTTTTTTCAAAAAAAAAAGTGACATAATAAATGGGACAGACGGAAATTAAAATGTAGATACGATAAGTCAGACGGATGGCAAAAATAAGTACGGTTCGAAAGTCTGATCCAAACACGATACAAAAAAAATCGTGCTTGAGCCTCTAAAAATAGGCCCAATTATTTTCGGGCCGTGCCTAACCCGGAACGCTAATGAACCGGGTTGTTCCCAGACTCATGAAGGTCGGGCCGTGCCTGGCCCGACCTAATTTTTAGAATTAATATTTAAATTTTAATAAATTTATATATATATATTAATATTTGAAATAAATACAAAATTACAACACTGCTTGATGCTAAAGCTTTAGTTTATATATGTTTAGCTGTGAGTTCAATTCCCTTCTAAATTAATCCTAAGCTAAAAATATAAGTAAAATAATTTAAATTTTTTTAAAAATAGAAAGCGGCCTGGCCTTTCCGGGCCCGATGTAAATCGGGTTGTGCTGACCCAGCGTGTTTGGAACTAAGTCGGGCCGGGCTGAGCCGAATTGCCACCTCTACCTCATCCTACTTAATTTGTTTATTCTTTCTATATATACGTCTGTTCTATATAAATTGTTTAATTAAAATAAACAAATTTAATGCGAATGTAGGCCGTATTATGTTGAATTTTCTGGTAAGTACAAATAAAATAGTCATATATTACATACTTTTATTTAATAATTTTTCAATTCTAATTCAAAGTACCTTT